GAACAATGTTGATCTTACACCCTTTATGCTTGGAAAGGTTCAAAGTGGGACTACACTCAATAAAGCTTCCTTTGAGAATATGCAATATGAGTTTCAGAATGGTAGCTGGAGGAAGAAAGGGGATCAAGCAATGGAACAGCAAAGTGATGAAGAAAAAGGTGATGGAGATCAAGAAATGGCAGAATAAGGGGAAGAAGAACATGGAGGTGATAGCCCAAGACCCTTTCAAGCCTCCATGCAAAGGACAAACCGCGAAATCATGGAGCTAATGATATCTGAGATACAGCAGCTACATACCAACTTTTATGGTTTTCGGACAGAAATGAGAGGAAGAATGAATAACGTGGAAGGAAAGCTCGATCGGCTTGTTAACCATTTTTTTCCTCCACCCCCACCTAATGCCACCTAACTTGATATTTCTTTAGTTTGGCTAATCTTTAGGATGGACATCTTAGGGTCATGCACTTTATGTTTTTATTTGACTATGGATATTTCTTGAACCTTTTTATCTTGTTTTCTGAATGGAAATGGCATCACTTGTGTTTTCATGCTTTGTGAATGGTTGTTTATGATTTTGATGATTATATGCTCTTATTGAGGGGGAGTTTATTGGTTGATGATTGTATTCATGTCTTTGGTTGTCTATGGTGCTATATTGATGATGATTGATGATTATATTGATTACATATTCTTGATGCTTTAAAGGTTGATAGCACGAATTAAGGAGGAGTTTATTGCTTATGTTTATATACTTTTTGATGAATGACAAAAAGGGGGAGATAATATGTTGAATTTAATGTCATTTTCTAGAGTACCTTGTGCTGAAATTCTGGTTAATATTGAAGTATATATGTGCTTTCATTAATTAATTCTCAAAGTGTTTTGTCATCATCAAAAAGGGAGAAATTGTTGTATCTATGATTTTGATGATTATAAAACACATTCGAGTGACTAATTGGTTTATTTAAGTGTGTAGTTAAGTTGCTAAAAGATTGCAAGTAAACTTGGATTGCACTAAAAATAAACCAAAAGGATTCAAAATGTGCAAAGAGCCGACTCTTAAAAGCTGTAGCCGGTTATAGTGAAATGGAAGTGCAGAGGGCCGGCTCTAGAAGCTATAGTTGGCTCTACGAGCAAAAATTTGAAGACCGTTGTTTGGCGCGCGCGGAGAAAAGACGCAAAGCTGGCTCCAACTTTGCAATCGGCTATGAGGGTGCATTTAATGTACAACGGTCGACTTTTTTGAAGCGTATTTAATGTATTTAAAGTCGGAGTTCCAAAGCCGGCTTAAAGTTTTGCAGCCGGCTCTCGAGAAAAACAGAATGTGCAAGAATCATGTAAAGCCGGCTGTAGAAATGGTGAGCCGGCTATACAAAGTCGGCTCCAGGAAGTTAACCCGGCTCTCCTGACAATCCTTCAACTCGAGCTTTGCATCCTGCAGGGCATTTAATGACCCTCAATGGCTAGAAACGGCTATTTTCCAACAAGGGGCTATAAATATGGTTGGTAATAGATCTAAAGAAGTTTGAAGAACATTGCATTGAATATCTTTACCTACCATCTTGTGCTTTAACTAGAGATTTTGATCTTTGAGAGATTTTTGTTTGTAATCCTCTTCTTTTGCTATTAGTGAGTGATCTTGGGGGTGTGTTGATTCCTTCAAGAGTGATCTATTGAGAGGATTTGTGGGGTTTACATTGTAAAGGGGTGAGGTTTGAGAGAAATACTCATCTTCTTGTAAAAGGATTGAATGGCTCCTTTAAGCCACCCTTGTTGTTGTTAGTGGAGAGTGTGGAGGAAATCCTTGGTGAGTGAAGCCAAGGTAGAGGACTAGGCTCCAAGTGGTTGAACCGAACCTCTATAAATCATTGAGCAAGCTCTTCTTCTCTACTCTCTTTAATTTTTGTTTGGTGGTTGCAAAGAGATGAAAATTCTTCAACTCCAATTCACCCCCCTTCTTAGAGTACATTGAGTCAACATAGTTTACATAAATAAAATTTATCCACCCAATGATTATCTCCCAACAATGTTTCCTACAAAACAACAATATTAAAAAAAAAATTAGAAGTGTAAATAAATTAACCGACATCTCAAATTCATGTTTAATCAATTATGGAGAAAGAATGGAAGAGAAAAAGAAAAGAGATTGAGAAGATATAAACCAAAATTAACATAAATATAATGTAATTATAAGCATGATAAAATTCAGCAGCATTTTAATGGAAGGAGGAGGTGAAACATATGAGGGAGGAGAAGAAAGAAGAAGAAGAAGAAGAATAAGAAGAAGGAACAAAATGAGCGTATATAAAGCCTTTTACATATGTGGAATTTTTCGATATTGTTTTTACCAATGTAATACACATAACTAAGATAAAAGTTTTAGCAGGAGAAAAAAAAGCAAAAATTCTGTGAACCCACCTTGTTTTTCACCGACAAAATTCTTGTTGGAAAATTAAAAACCAAATATTTTGTGGTTCGTGCCATCATTTATTGACAAATGCATGCTGACAAGTTTTTTTTTTTTTTTTAAATAGTACCTAAATATGCATGTTGTTAAGTTAAAAGCAAAAATGTGGCATTCCTACAATCAAGATTGCCAACAAAGTGCATGTTGGAAGGTGGAGAAGGTGACCATTTTTCCAATGTGCTCCTTGTGGCTAATGCTAAGTCTTCCCAGATTTCTTTCTTAGATTCCATTTCCTTTTTCATGTTAATTTCTAAATTTATCCAATAGATTTCTAGCATTTTAATCATTTTAGTTGACATAAATTCTAAAATAAATTTGACAAAGTTTCCTCATGGATATGATAAAAGCCAATTTTTTAAACTTGCATCAACAATGAAAAACACATGTTTTACAACTTTACTACACGAAAAGCAATTATACCATTTCAACCACAACAACAACCATATACCATTGTCCTAAATCTCTATAATATTTAATTTTGAATTTATTCAATTGGTTTCTTGCATTTTGGTCATTTTAGTGGACAAAAATTCTAAAAAAATTTAGCAAAGTTTCCCCATATATCTGATCAAATCCAATTTTTTGAAACCTGCATTTGCAATGAAAGTACATTTTCTACAACTTTATCATACTAAAAGCAGTTATATCTTTTCAATTGCAACCACAATCATAGGGTATATAAACCACAACCATAAAATCTAAAGAAAGATTGGATATTAGAGCCATCTAATGCAAAATTCAGGATTCTAGCAATGCTAATATTAAATAATTATTATAATACTTAAAATTTTCAAGATTTATTACCAAAATTTTAACAAAAAATTGCTGAAATATTATTAACAAACACTTATATATATAATTTATCCAAAACAATAAATCTAATAATGCTAATATCAAATGAACTAATCACAATATTTTATAGTTTAAATTCTTTAAAAAAAAAAACAAAATATGCATAAAATATTTAACTTCAATACATAAATATATAAAAGATAGTAATATCTGCTGACCTTCGAAGAAAACAAAAATCTTTCCCCGAAAAAACCACAAGTAAACTTGCCAAAATTAGATTCAATCTCAAATTCAACCCAACTCACTCGCTATGGGTGAGTTCATAGGTGTAAAATATCTATTCAAAATCTATTATGATGATCCAAACTAAAAAATTTGGACTCAATTGGATTGCATTAGAGTTAAGTCAGGTGAAGTAAAGTAACTAAATTAAAATTAATTAATTTTTTTAAATTTAAAATTTTGATTAATTATGTTTTTAATTTTAATTTTAACATTTTAAAAAATTAAATTGTATGCATTTAACTCCTCATTTTAATAAGTTTGAAATTTTTAACTTCTCATCTTATATTATGAAATTTTTAGTCCTGAACAATTTGAAGATTTTAACCTCTAAATTAATAGAATCTATTAATTATCTGTTAAAATGATAATAAAATATTTATATGATCAGTTCTTAAATATTAGAAATGTAACAATTTTAGTTCCAAAAGTTTAAAAATTAAACAAATTAGTAGATGATTTCACTACGTATATCTGAATATTATTAGGTATTTATAATTAAATTGAGTGATTAGCTGAATCTAAAAAAAATTTAATTGAGATTAAAGAGAAATTTTTGGTTCTATTCTTCTAATTTTTTGGATTTTTTATCTTGAACTCAATAAAATATTTTCTTTAATTTCAATCAAAATTCTTTTTCCAAATTGAGCTAATAACAGTATTTTATTATAAATATCTAATATTGTTTTAGTATATATGAAAAAATTCTTTATTAATTTTTTAATTTATTATTTTAAAAAATTTTAAACTTTTAAAAATAAATTATTATATTTTTAACTTTTAAAAATTGAGCCTATAAATATTTTCTTTCAACTTTAACAAAAATTAATAAATTTTGTTTGTTTAAGGACTAAAATCTTTACCCTTTTAAATTTTAAAGCTTAATCAGTTAGGTAAGGGCTACACGCAAATTTTAATCCAAAACCCATAGGTGCCATTGCCTGTTTTCCAAAAACAAATAAAAAAAAAAGTTGCTGAAGCCTGAATGCAGCAGTGAGAGGGGATTACCGACGAAGAAATTGTTTTTGTTTAAGACAGTTCACCGACGTGAACTTCATCGGCCATAGAATTTCCTGTTCACTGCACTGAAAAGCCACCGAAGTGATATCACTGACAAGATTTTTGTTGCAGAATCTTATAGTTACCGATGAGAGATTCGTCGTTCCTTAAAACCTCTGCTCACGTCACTCAAAAAGCTGCCAGAGTTGGTGGAGTGGATATATTCAGGAATAATACCGACAAAAAATAAGTGTGTATTAGATGAATTTACAGATGAAATGCTCCTCTGAAATTTAAATAATATAAATTAATTTTCATGTTACTGTTTTTAACTGTACAGACATGTTCTTTGTTGGCAAGCTATTTATTTAACCAACAAATCTTCTCACGTTAGTAATTTTTGGTTGGTTATATTAGGTTTTCTAGTAGTGTTATTCCAAAAACACCCTTATTGTAAATATCAAAATATAATTATGGGCTCAGGGAGATATTTAGTCGTGAATTACGCATAAGTTAGCATGAAAAAGAGATCAAGAAAAGACTTGAACCATTTAAAAGAATAACAAGTTGTTTGGTAGACTGGACAATATTGAGGATAGAACGATGGAGCTATTTCAAAATAGGGCATCGATGTGGATCATGGGTAATAAGTTGACAAATGGATATGGTGCTATATATGAGGATTGTTATGATACCGAGGATTGTGTGGGTGCCCATCAAATGAAAAAAAAAGGGTTATGTGGGCTCTCGTGTAATTCAATTTTGAGATGTATTTTCCATGGCCAACGTTTAGCTGTGGCTTAATAGAATATAGATTGTATGGGTGATTAGGTTGAGTACAAGTAATACTTCCACAAAAATCAAGTAGCAACGTGGTTGGCCACCAACCCAACCATGCGTTGGGGTGGCTGAGCGCGTTGTTGATTTGGGGGTTGATTTTTGTGTATTTTCTGTTGAACCTTCTATCACGTGATGAGAAATTAACCTATGCTTTTGTACTCATGCCATTGAAATTGATTGATTCGTCCTATTGTGTCATCCAACTTGTCTGTTTTTAAGAGGTACATCTTGTATTGTTCATCTTGGCGAATTCTTCTCTAATGTCTGCCTAGTAATTTTTATTAACGGTGAATTTTCATAGGGGAGTCTTAATTTAGTTGAAGACTGTGAATTAAGAAAGGAATTTTGAGGAGTACCATATCCTAATGGTCCTTACACTATCGTCTTAACCCTTAAAATCCTTTCCTTTTTTTTATAAATTAAATTTTTTTTATTATCGAGTACGAGGAGCAGTACTGAAATGAGCATAACTGTTTACAGTACATGTAATCCCAAGCTACACAAAAACCACATCCAATCACTGATGCAACATAGGTGTGGGTTGAGGAGCCAATATGATAAACAGAAACCC